GTGCACTTGAATATGTGTGATGGTCATTCAGATGTGTGCACTTGGGTATATGAGATGGTCATTCAGATGTGTGCACTTGGGTGTGTGTGATGGTCATTCAGATGTGTGCACTTGGGTATGTGTGATGGTCATTCAGATGTGTGTACTTGGGTATGTGAGATGGTCATTCAGATGTGTGCACTTGGGTATATGAGATGGTCATTCAGATGTGTACACTTGGGTATGTGTGATGGTCATTCAGATGTGTGTACTTGGGTATGTGAGATGGTCATTCAGATGTGTGCACTTGGGTATGTGTGAAGGCCAGAGCACAACCTCAGGTCATCCTTAGGAGTCATCCACCTTGTTGTTAGAGACAGTATCTCTCACAGTATCTCACTGGATCTCATCCGGTAGTGCAGGATGACTGACCAGTGAGTCCCAGAAATCCTCCTGCCTCCATCTCCCCAGCACTGGGATTAAAAGTGCACATCCATATGCCTGGCTCCTTGATTTTTTTAAAAAAGGGTTCTGGGGATGGAACACAGATAGATCCTCATCTGCAAGTCCATTCTTTACTGACTGAACCATCTCCCTGTATTTAGTAGTGTTTACAGGATTTAAGTTGTGGGGTCCTGGAGGGGAAAGCTAAAGTTATAGGCTTTACTACAAACTTCCAAGACTCAAAATTTGAAACCAGCTCCCCATCCGCAGCTGATGTAAGGACGCGCCAATCCCATTTCCTCTCCAAAAGCCTCACCTAAAACCCCCACAGATTGCATGTCAGCTTTAGTTTCACTTGAAAAGAAAAATCCCAAGCATTTTATTAGAAAAAAATTCTGTAGCACGTTCATCAATCCCCATGACAGCAGTGGGCTGTTCTCGGCGTTACAAATGAACCCCTGAGACCCCATTGCTTCTTCATGTCAGCATGTGGGTACAATTCTTCCGGATGGGGGGGGGGCAGGCTTTAAATTGCCTGCCTTAAGGTTATTTCAGTTTCAATATATTATAGGACACGACGGAGGCGTAACTGAGACCCATAATTCCCGAACTCCAAACGACATTTCATCAAACCCCCTAGTTTCCGGGCTGATGGTTGGGCTTGCAGTTGAGTGAGCAACAGAACAGGCAGGAGTTTTAAAACACTCCACTGAAGGCATTTTCCTCGTAGACTGTCTTGGCTACTGTCCCATCTCATTGTGAACCATTGGAAATCCTGTCTGCTCGGAATCAATGGGTGCAGGGGAAACCCTGGCTGTGGCTGGGGTAGCTGATTGCAGGAGGAATATAGTAAAGCAGAGGAGCTATTAGAATTCTTCTGTGAGTTTTACAATCAGGCGTGAGTCCCCATTTGTACAATGGACTGTCTCTGTTGAGTTTTGGTCTTGGGGGATGACTGGCCTATTAGCCCTGCTCTGCCTCACTGGGATTCTGGAGTTTGTGTGACCCGAGATTGTGTCCTACCACTTCTTTGTGCCTCAGACAATGAAGACAGAAGACGCAGAGGATTTGGATGGGCTCTCTCAGTGAGCAAATGCCCTCTACGTTTTTCTAGTTGTTTGGGTCTGAAGGGTGGTCAGGTAGAGCAGGACCTCATATGGCCACATATGGCCATCTAAGTTGGTGAGTTACCCAAGTTTATAGCCTGCTCCTCAGACTATATTTTGATGCTATTTTTTGCTTGTTTGTTTCTTTGAGACAGAGTTTCTCTGTGTAACAGCCCTGGTTGTCCTTGAACTCATTCTTTAGATCAGGCTGGCCTTAAACTCGTAGAGGTCCACCTGTCTCTTCTGCATCCCAAGTGCTGGGATTAAAGGCATGTACCACCTGTCCATCTGATTTGTTTTTTTGTTTTTTGAGACAGGATTTCTCTGTGTAACAATCCTAGCTGTCCTGGAACTCAGCCTGTAGACTAGGCTGGCCTCAAACTCACAGAGGTTCACCTGTCTCTGCCTGCCAAGTACCGGGATTAAAGGCATGAACTACCACCACCTGGCCCTGATGCTATTTTTTTTTTTAAAAAATTATTTTTATTTCCTGTGCATGAATGTTTCTTTTGCACAAATGTCTGCATACCATGTGCACACAGTACATATAGTAGAATTCAGGTGCATGTAGAATTCAGGGAAGAGGGCATCAGATCCCTGTAGCTGGAGTTATAGATGGTTATGAGTCATTGTGTGTGTGTGTGTGTGTGTGTGTGTGTGTGTGTGTGTGTGTGTGCTGGGAATTGAATCTGGGTCTTCTGGAAGAACAGTCAGTGCTCCTAACCACTGAGCAATCTCTCCAGCTCCTGATACCATTCTTGTAGTGCTGTCCCTTATCCTGTATGCTGCAGAGTGTCTGATACTGCTCAGCCATGCATCTCCCAGCCCTAGCTCACAAACTAATGTTGCATCAGTTTAAAAGATCAAGCCAGTCGTATGCCACCAAGATGCCACATTCAAACAGATCTACTGAGCACCAGTGGTTAGGTAGCTTCAGGGCAGCCCACAGAATTGCCGTGACCTCCTGTGTTCCCCTTATAGCTGGCTCTTCGGACAAGGGTATGAGTGTTTATACCAAGCTCCTCACATGGTCAGTGAGATTTCTTATTCCTTTCCAGGTACATGCCCAGTGCTGTTATGACACAGTGTTCTGGAATTTTTGCTTCTAAGTGCCAGGAACCCACACACCTAAAGAAAAGGATATCACAGGCCAGCAAACCCAGATTCATAGGGCTGTTCTCCAGCTTCCTGTTTTCTACTGTCCTCCATTCATGTCCTGTTACTGTGATAAAATGCTCAGGGGAAAAAATTATAACAGCAGTTCAGGAGAGAATGGGCTTATTTCTGCTCGCAGTTCCAGGGTACAACCCGTCTTTGACGGGGACATCATGACAAGACTTGGAGCACCTGGTCACACCACATTCACCACCAAGAGCAGAGTGAAGAATGCATGCATGTTTACATTCAGTTTGCTTTCCCCTCTTTATACAGTCCAGGTGCCAAACCTAGGGAATGGTGCTGCCCAGAGTGGGCTGGGTCTTCCCACCTTAACACAATTCCCCACGGATACACCTACAGGTCCATCTCTACAATCTCTCACGGAGACTCTTCCCAAGATAGATTCTGGAGTGTGTCACGTTGACAGTTGAACCAGCCATCATTCGCTCTATTTCATTTGTCTTTCTTGTTGATTCCTCCTCTTACCGCCCCCCCCCCCGTGTTTCTCACTGTCTGCCTTCCTCACACCCTCCCCATTCCTCTTTCTTTTCTTCTAGACAAGGTCACAGATAGCCCAGTGTGGCCTTGAATGTGCTATGCAGTAGAGGCTGCCCTTGAACCCCTGATTCTTCCCAAGGTGGGGGTGACGGCTGTTGCCACCACAGCTGACTCTTCTCCCACCATCCCTCCAGTCCTCTTTGTTTTCCTACGCGATGGAGACCCTAACATCCTAAAGCCCACTCCCCGTCCATTTCCAAGAAAACCAACTTAGTTTTGCTATGGGATGATGGTGCTACTGGATCTCCATTCTTTATGCAGCCAAGAATCAAGATACTTTTTTTCTTTAAATCTACACTTCCGTCAGCACACCGCCCTTCTCACACTTACAGTTGAGGGATAGGAAAAGTGCCAAGGCAGGGTATCGTGGCCTGCACCCATAACCTCACCCTTCCGGAAGCAAGGGCAGGAGGTTCCTCAAAGACTCAAGCCTAGCCTGGGCTAGACAGCTCTTTCCAGGCCAGCTAGGGCTACGTCAGACCCTGCCTTGAGAAACAAAGCCAATGATGGAAGAAGTGTTGACATGGGGGGACAGGAAGCCGCAGCAACTGGCATTTGGCTCTCCCAGCTGTTCTCATGTGTGATCAGACAGCCCCGGCTTTAGTCTGTTACTGGAAGTGGATGCTAGACCACCGAGAAGAAGAAGAAAAAAAAGGCATATTTTGTTTCAGAGCTAAAAATACCATTCCGTTGGCCCCTGCGCTATGTTAAATACACGCATACCTGTGTGCATGCCAGGGCTGGGTTCACACCTGCACTCTGCCTAACCCAGTGTGGGGGGACAGGAGCAGGCTATAGACACAGCTCTGACTTAAACAGCGAACAAAGGTCACTGGGGCTTTAGGTAGCTCCTGCTTTCCCCAAGCCTCGGCAGGCCCATCTCTTTCTGCTTCCTTTTAAAAGCTAAGGACAAACCACCACACTTTCCCTTAAAGCCACCAAGGGCTGGAGGGTGCCTGCCAGGTCACTCACTAGACCAGTGGCTCCCACCCTTCCTAATGCTGCAATCTTTTT